GCACCGGCCCTGCCGGGCCCGGGCACCGCCAGCCCACCCCAAAGGTGTTTCTCTCTCCCGCCGTGGCCGAAGAGCCGCGCAGGCGGGGAGGGCGCGGGGCCTCGGGACCGATGCACGGCTGATGTTTAACGGGAAACCATCTCCTGGAACTGTGACTGATTTCTTTCTAAAAACACTGGGGAATCCAGAGCACCATGACACCCTGAACATGAGCCGGCAGTGTGCCCAGGTGGCCAAGAAGGCCAACAGCATCAGCACTGGTGTGGCCAGCAGGAGCAGGGCAGTGATCGTGCCCCTGGACTCGGCACTGGTGAGGCCGCACCTCGAATCCTGTGTTCAGTGTTGGGCCCCTCACTCCAAGAAGGACGTTGAGGTGCTGGAGCGTGTCCAGAGAAGGGCAACGGAGCTGGGGAGGGGTCTGGAGCACAAGTCTGATGAGGAGCGGCTGAGGGAACTGGGGGTGTTCAGTCTGGAGAAGAGGAGGCTGAGGGGAGCCCTCATCGCTCTCTGCAACTACCTGAAAGGGGGTTGTGGTGAGGTGGGGGTTGGTCTCTTCTCCCAAGGAACCAGTGACAGGACGAGAGAAAATGGCCTCAAGTTGCACCAGGGGAGGTCTAGACTGGATATTGGGAAAAATTTCTTTACGGAGAGAGTAAAAGAAGGCTGCCCAGGGAGGTGGTGGAGTCACCATCACTGGAGGTGTTCAAAAAACGTGTGGACGTGGCACTTGGGGACATGGTTTAGTGGGCATAGGGGTGTTGGGTTGATGGTTGGACTTGATGATCTTAAAGGTCTTTTCCAACCTTAATGATTCTACGACTCTATAAATCTTCAAAGATTTTACCAATACCAGGGAAGCCACTCCAAAACAGTGTACTGGGATGCTACCAAGTCCCTGCCAGCTACTGAAAATATGTTTAAATGAAGGACAGCAAGTCATCTGGGTACATACCAGCCCGCTGGCTTTAACCAGGGGAGCTTCCAGGTCCGGGTAGACGTTCTCCAGGTACCACCGGAAACTTTTGCACTGAAGCTTCTTTCGCAGTTGGATTTGTTGAGTCAGGTCACCAACATCCAGGTTTTTCAAGACCAAGTGGTAAGCGTGGCCGTAGAATAGCTCCTTGTACTCGTCCAGCCAGACCTCTGCAACACGGGCCAAGTTCCTCTCCACTGTTCTCACCCGATCTTTTGGGAAGGAATAAGGATTGTCGTTCCTGAAAATGTGCCCAACTCTGGAGCACGGAACAATCTCAATCTCTCCTCCGCACATCCAGACCTGAGAAACAGAGGTTGCTTTGATAGAAACAAGGGGAAATGTTGGGTGCTGGCTTTGGGCAACCCAGAAGAGAAGCAGAGAAGCAAGTAAACTGCCGGGAGTTTACTGTGACGGGTCTCCAGCATGGGGTCACCCCGGGGAGCCACCGGCCGAGCCCCAAGCACCCACGGCAGGCTGGTGGGGATGCAGGCACTGACAGGCTGCTGAGAGCGACGTACCTTGAATGAAATCTCCATATTTTCACCTCCCCAAACATCCAGTCCTGGGTCATACATTCCTAGCTCAAAAAAATACTTCTTATCGATGGAAAAAAGGCCACCTGCCATGACTGGGCACCTGGGAACACAGAAGCCACACGGCATGTCAGCTGGTCGGGAAGCACCCGTCCCTTTCTCCTTGTTTTAACAAGGGAATTGTCGAGAAGCTGCGGGCTAATGCATGCTGAGGGACGGCACCTGAGCCTGCACTTACACAGACAGCAAGGACCACCGATTTGTCACTTTGCTGCAGGCTGACAGGCGCAACGTTAAAAGGGATGGTGTTTGGGTGGTTTTAGCCAGCCTGAAAGCCGTAAAGGGGCATGGAAGGGACACGCGCACCGGTATGTCCTCCTGGCCCTGGCAGCACCAGCAAAAAGCCAGCCGTGCTGCAAGAGGCGAGAAAGGCTGGCTGGGCTTTGCCCACATCTGATGATGCGATTGCCCACCATGCCTTTGTTGTCCTTACAAGCAAAAGGAAAACATTTAGCTTTGAAGAAGCTTTTGTTGCTAAATTATTAACAAAGGAACAGTTTGATTCACAAAGCTCTCACATTTGCTTTTTTTTACCTTATTATATCAGTTTCCTTGATTTTATTTTTCTCGATGACCTCTTGCGGAATCTGCCTCCATCCAAAATTCATTGGCCAAGTAAAAATCCCACGCTGAAAGTTGTCCACGGTCATGTAGCTAAACGGAGAAAAGATCGGGATGACTAAATCTGAGTCACATTCCTGATTGAAATGTCACCCCTAATGAGTGAAGATGAGTATCTGTACATAATTAAAACAAGATTTTAACAAATTTCATCAGGAATCCTCTTCATGTGCTAAAAGTCATGAAAAAGCGAAAAGGTGCATGCGATAAACAAAGGGGCCACGTCCACTGCTAATGTTTATTTCTGGTGTACACCAACATGACGTATCCCTTGTGAAACGCTCCTGAAGGCCAGTTAGGAGGTCTGGACCTGCATCTGCCCGTAGTTAGTATGTGGGTGCTCCCAGTAAGAGGTTTTGCTGAACCCACTGGCATGGGTTTTGGGTTTCCCAGGGGTGCGAGCCGCCTTACCTCATGTCCTTGTCGCTGATGACCTCGATGACAGGGCAGGCGACCTTAGCCCGGCTCAGGCGGACCCTTTCCAGCAGTGGCTCCAGCCACCCCACATTGCACTCCACGTGCGAGTCCAGGAACGTCAGGACAGCGCCTGCGGCAGAGGCCAGGGCAGCATCAAGCCCCAGACACCCCGTCCCCCTCCCTCTCCAGGTGGCCTCTGCACTGGAGGGTGCTGCTGACGGTGCCACGACTCTCCATGGCTCCCAGAGCCCTCCTGGCCACAGCCCAGAGCACGTTTTTACCCCTCGGCCCTCGTGGCCTGCTGAGCAAAGCAGGGCGGCTCCCGGCAGAAACGGCCGTTTCGGTGCCGACAGAGCCTGGCCGCGGAGCCGGGGCGGCACAGCTGGATATACCGGCTGCCACTTGCTAGGGCCAAGCCGAGGTGCCGGACAAGCTGCTGCTCGTCCTCTCATCAGACCCTCATGCTTCACATACCGAAAAGATGCCCTTAGTCCATTGGGAAGGGACTAAAACTCAATGCTGGAGATGGCTTATCAGCACCTCTGGGGGGTCCAGACAGGGCTGTAAAATGGCTTTTGTCCTACCTTTGGCGATTGCCGCTCCTGCCAGTCTGGCCCGTATTAGACCATGCCTCTCCTTGAGATGGAGGATCTTCACTTTTGTGAACCGTGACATGTATTTGTCCAGCTTCTCCTTGAGGTACCCTGCGGAGAAGGAGAAGGAGAGGGTGCAGTTGACTTACCCATTTCACACCCATTTCCAGGGTGATTTTTTTTGCAAGCATCTCCAGGACACACCAGGATCCTCACGTCTGGGGCGTGAACATCTGGCCACAGCTGCAGGGCTTCTGGTGCACGGCACTGCAGTCTGAGCCTGCTCTCCGGTGAAACTCCCAGCCGCGTCAGTGCCAGAAGGTCTAGGCTGATGCTGACGAGTATAAAAATCTCTGTTGCAGATGCGTCTCCTGGTACTCACCGCTGACCGGTGTGGATTTTGGTCCTGGGGGCTCGCCAAGGGCTGCCCAGCTGTCCTGGATCTGCCCCTCCATAGGAGGGGCCGCGGGTGGTGGTATCATCTCCTGCTCCCTGCACAGTGGGCAGCGCTCCACATCGGTGCGAACCCAGCGGATGAAGCAAAGGCAGACCCGTACCCGGCGCTGGCCGATCGCAGTGACGCGCTGCATGCAGAAGATGTGGAAAGTGGAGAGCAGCGAGTGTTGGGCTTTTGGTGACAGGCCACGAGTGGAATCCCAGTTCACGATCCAAACCAGGTATCAAACGATTGTTCAAAGACTCCAAAATGAATTTTTTTTCTTCATTGTACTATAATTGCAACTAAAATCTGGTTGTCAATGGGTTTTCCTTTGCCTAAAAAAATATTTCTTTTGTGCTCTTCAAATTCCTCAATATTAAGCACCACATTTAAAGACTCAGCCCAAGTTTAAACTGCACGAGGGTTCGCTCTGGCAAATCTCTACTTTTCAGGTTGCCTTTGTCATGGTTTCCTGTGGCTGTGGAGGCAGCTGGTGGTAAACTCTCAGGAAAAAGAGGGTGTGAGAAGGGTGGCTTGGGGGTCTCGAGTGCCGGGCGGTCCTGTCTGCAGGCGGCTCTCCCGCGGCAGGGGAGCCCCGGGGCACCCGCCGCGGGGCTTTGCGGCTCCAAGCCCTTCGTTTGGAGCCAGCCACTCATTCACATCGTTTGGTCTGCGGGGAGGATCCCCGACCTCCCTCACCAGTGGGCTTCATTGATTCTTTTTGGTTTTCTCTGGGAGAATACAACGGCATTTCAAAAGCCAGTTAAAAGCTTTGAAAGGCTCCAGAGATGAGACATTTGCAGACAGGTTTGCTGCAGGTTATTGCTGCTGCTGCTTGGACTACAGCAATGCCGAGCACAGCTCTCCGTAATTCACCCATGCCCACGAGGTTTCGGTCGCAAACACAGCGTTTGAGATGTTCACTGGCTAACGGGCAGTCACAAAGGGAAGCCGCAGGGAGAAAGTAAAATGGAAACTTGAAAAGATGCTTTTCAGGGGAAATGGTATAAATATGTTTTAATGATTATTTTAAAAATTAGCAAACTGAGTCTTCTTCCTCTTTTTTGCACCTATTGTCTTGTTGCATTGTAGGGTCTTTATATGCATGGCATGAGCTCTGAAGTTTGTCTGAGACAGCACTTTCCCTGAAGAACCAGCAGTTGGAAAATTACATCATACCTAAATTTTTAAGGGCTGAAGTCAGCAGAGAGCCAAAGCATTACAAAGCAGAGGTTCGATATCATCCAAAATGCCTGTGAGCACACATGCAAAGCCACTGCACACACCGATGCTTTTACTGCAACTACCCCGTTCTCTGAGCAACCTGGGAAGCGCGCGCTGTTCCTTCCCTGCCGCCAGCACTGAAAACACGGGGCACTCGTCTGGAAATTGCACAGAGAAGGGTGACAGCATCTAATTTACAAATGCGCAAGCCCTTGAGCCGGGACACCCTGAAGCTGCGTGGGTCGGCTGGGACCGAGCTCCCTGGTGCTGCTGGCCCCAGCGCCTCTGGCAGCCCCCGGCACACGTGCAAAGCAGAGCACAAGGAACGCGCAGCCGTAAACGCAGCAGCTGTTTAAGTGAGCGCATGGGGATGGGGGAGACGTGAATGATAACGGCTGGGGGGGGGGTGGGGGTCTCGATCCGCCACAGCCGCCCCCAGCACCCAGCTGGCCTCTGATCCCCCTCCTCTGGAGAGATAACGGCGCCCGCTGCAGACGCGCTTCAACACGCTGAAAGGAGAAAATGCGATTTCTTTCGACTCTTCAGAATTGAATTACAGAGAACAAATTGTATTTTGGCCTCAAGTTATATTAGTTTCGTGAAGGTAGAAGAAGCTTCACCTACCTTTAGTGCTGAAGTCGTCCACCAAAATGACTTCTTCAATCAGGTGTGGAGGAGATCTGTTGAGGACGCTGTGAACGGAGCGAAGGAGGGCGGACCACACTTCATCCACAAAGCACATGATGATGGTGGTGGTTGGGAGGTCATCGTGAACCCGCTGCTCAGAGCACCTGCAACGGCAATATGGGCTCACAGGCGACGGCCGGTCGCACTCCTGGCTTAGGGTTTGTTGGGGAAATGCACGGGGGGGGGAATGCCCAATATAGAGAAATATGGAGACAAACCCCTGTGATGGGATTTTGTCAAGAGAGGAAGCAGAGGGGTGAGGGGGGGGAACTCCTCACACAGCCCTGCAGGGATAGGACACACTCCTTTCTAACAGGGACCTCTTTTTAACTCCCTGCCCCCGGTGACAATATCTCCATTCTGTGAGCAGGCAGCGCAGAGGCCCCAGGAGCAAGGCCCGTCCCAGCCCTGCACCACTGGCCTCGGGAAAGGACCCTGCGATGCTCCGAGCACCCACAGGGCTGGGGATGCAGGGCTGCATCAGATAGCCTCGTCGGAAGAAAAGAATCCCCCAGCAAAACGCGGGGAAATGGCCGTTTCTCTTCACGAAGGGTTACTCAGCACAGCAACTTGTCGAACATGCAGACAGCGAGGAAGAGTTGCCCAGTCCGGCTTCTGCATCTAACTCCAGGGACTGTGGAGGATGGGAAAACATTCAAGCATCTGAATTTCATGTACGACAGTACAGGTGGGTCCTCTCCCTGAGCACCCACGCCTCCCCACGGACCCCCCGGCCCGGCCAGCCGTGCCCCGAGCCCACGCGCAGGGGCTCTGAGCGGCGCTCGCTTCCCTCGCAAACAGCCAGTGATATGCATCAGTGGATCCGAGGCAGTGATAAAATTTCTCCTGTGTCTATGAGTTTGTCATTTTATTCTGTGACAGCCAAAAATGCAACAGCTGCGTCAGGCCTGTGTCTTCGGTGTTTGAACAGAAGGTCGACGAGCAGCTTTTCTCATCTTCCATCTGCAATTCGAGCACGGCTCCGCTGCCTGCCTGGGGGAGCGGGGCTCCCTCAGCTCTCCCACCTGCGAGCGGGTCTCCAGGCCTGCAGAGCGCCTGGCAGAGCGCTCCTCTCCCCCAGACTGGCCGGCTCATCCCAGAACACCCACAAACTGCTGGGACGTGCTTCCGCTCGCTTGTCAACAAGCTGAAGTCTGATAGCGGGTTTTTCTCTCTCGTCCTTCCAGAGCAGACCTCCTGCAGGCAGGACAGGCACCAGCCTCTCTGCAGATTAACTTCTCAGTGGTGAAAACAGTTTGGCTCTGCTGTCAGCAACGGACAGAAAACAGGGATAGGTATATGGCAGCGTATGGAAAATCGACTTGTTCTTCTGTCGTGATGCAGGGGCCCTCGGGTTTGGCTGGTGCCAGCTCAGACGCTGATGCCAGGGCACTGTGCAGCGCAGACCGCGTGGTGTTTTGGAAGAAAACTCAGAGGTATTTCAGGGCTTCACAGCTCATCAGATGTGCTCGGGATAAGAGAAAGTAACCCTCGAGTTACTCTCTGTTGCAATCCTTGGGACATGTCTTTCTGTTTCCCTCTGTAGCCTGGTTCTCCTCGGGCAGCGGCCAGGGCTGGCTCGGCCAGGAGGGGATATGCTGTTTGATGTGGTTTGGCTGGAAACCGTAATGGTGTTGGCCTGTGGCGACGGGACCTCTTCGCAGCGTGGAGGGGTGGTTTGGGGGTGCTGGCAGGGCTCCTGGGGTCGACGGTGAGAAAGCAGGGGCTGAACTGCTGGAGAGGTCACTTGCAAGAAGGAGACAGGACAAGAAGGGAAAGCAAAACTGGGAGAAAAGAGATGAATTTGTAGTTGCTCCTACAGTGAAACCAAGGAGGCAGCTCACGGGGCGAGGAAGGACAGAGGCCATGGACAAAGTGGGAGACAGCTGCCGAGCACAACAGCTTTCATTGCACAGAGAGAGGGATGTGAGAGCAGCTGAGAAAATGCAGCCGAGCCCCAAGCTGTGAAGGCTGCGTGCAGCCAGGCAGCACCTGCTAAGAGGACTTTTCTCTTTAGCTCCTTCGTTAGCAGCAAACGGGCTCTTGGCCAAAGCCTGCGGGTACCCTGGGCAGCTGGAAAGCATCTGCGCGAGGGCGATGGGAAACCTCAAACTGAGGAACATCCTTTTCTCCCTTCTTACCTAAAAAAGTAGAATTTCTAGGCAGAGAACAACGTGTTATTGTTGACCCCCAGCTAAAGATATTTCACAATGTCCTGTGTGAGTTTGGGCTCCATTTCTTTGCTAACTATATACATATATGTACATACATATGTATTTTTTATATATGCGTATATAATACTTAATATATATAACTAATGTTAAGTAGAAGTCAAATCCTTTTGACATTCATTGACCCCTAAACCGGCCTTTAAACAAAAATAGCCCACAGCCTTTATGTTCTGTTGACACCACCCTGAAAGCCAGCAAAATGTAGACTCTTAAGTTGCTGAAGTTGCTTTGGGAAAATGTCCCCTTAGGTTTGCCGCCCCCGAGCTTGGAAGCAGCCTGGCACTGAAGACCTGAGCCGCAGGGGTGCCCAGCCCCGTCCTCTCCCGGCTGGCAGGCGCAGCTGGGGTCGCTCCCCACGCCTGCCGGCACGGGTGCTAACTTACCCAGACCATACCGTGCCATCCGGGCATGTGACATTTTTTTGCCAGGCCAGGAAATCCAGGTCTGTGTCTAAACCCGGATAACTCAGTTGTTACCAGTAGCCTGGGCCGAGGTCAGAGGCGCACAGGGACCTTCGCTGCCGGCGCTGAAATGAGGTCCAGGGCTCCTGGGCCGGGCTCTGCAGGGAGTGCTCCCTACAAGCCTCCTGGCCAGCCCCAGCCTTCAGCTGTGCGGCTTGTGCATCCTGCTCCTCCATGGTGGGGCTCTTCCCGCACACGTCTCTGCAGAGGCACGGTGCTCGGCAAGCACCAGCACCGTAAGCAAAGCTCAGAACGCAGCAAGCATTGCACACGGATAAGCAGATGGAAGGCTGTGACAGGACAAGTTTCCTGTCAGCCAAATTTCAGCGGTCTAGGCCCAGCACTCCAGCAAGGGTCACGAGAGGAACTGGAGTCTAAACTGGGAGAAACTGGAAGACTCCAGCAAAAAGGTAATGTGCTGGGTTTTTTTGATCACCAAGAGCTGCCAACAGCCCTTGCCATGAGCTGGCCCTTACGGCCTGATGTCTGCCGTGCCAACAGGAGGCACAGGAGTGTCCCAGGAACCAAATGCACAAATATCAAAACCAAACAAGTGTTTTGGTGCTGCACCCGATAAACCAGGTGACATGAGCCGCGTTGCCTGCCTCGTACCCCAGCCTCTTTGTACAGCAGGGCTTAGCGGTTAAGACGATCTGCAAATTTTACCCAGTTTTAGGTTTAACAAGCTGCGCTCACCTGGAAAGGCAAAGCCGTCTGACCGCTAGCACACGTGAAGCGAAGGCCTCGGCATGCCCAGCAGCCCTCCCTGGGAGCCACCGAGCAGGGGCGCGGCACAGGTATTTGTGCAGGGGAAGCAGATCTTACCCGGCAGGCCTGGTGTCCGCTATGGCTCGGTCTATGGGGATCAAATCGCTGAGGTAGACATTAAAGTTTCCTTCTTTCCATCTACTTTTTGCTTCTTCTTGTTTACCGCCAGGGACTGCAACAGGCCGCCCAAACTGGCCAGGAGCTTGGGGGTCTCTCGGGGCAAGCGTTGCATCCACGGACAAGACCCTGTGCGTTCCCGGGCTGGCCCCCGGCCGGGCAGCGCGGCTGCTCCCACCTGCCTTCTCCTGCCCGTCCTCGCC